AGTCTTATGGTGGAACCTCTGGATTGCAGCAAAGGGTGGTGTTATTTTTTAAATGAGCTAGAGATTTGTTATGTTCCTTTTGGTTGGAGTTCTGCTTTAATGTTTTCAAGTCCTCGTTTCCATGTATACATTGTGCTTTGCGAGTCCTCGTTCCTGGCATTACAGTCACTGGTAGGGTCATCATTTATATCACTAGCCCACTGGGGAATGTTTAGAGTTTTTGTTTCACTTCCTGTCTCGTAAACAAAAGGGTGACTGGTCTTGTCTCCGCCCCCTCCCGTAATAAAGACCGGTCACTGCTGCTCTCTCTCCTTGTGCAGAGTGACTGGTCTTGTCTCCGCCCCCTCCTGTAATAAAGACCGGTCACTGTTGCTCTCTCTCTTTGTACAGGGTGACTGGTCTTGTCTCCGCCCCCTCCTGTAATAAAGAACGGTCACTGCTGCTCTCTCTCTTTGTACAGGGTGACTGGTCTTGTCTCCTCCCCCTCCTGTAATAAAGAACTGTCACTGCTGCTCTCTCCTTGTGCAGGGTGACTGGTCTTGTCTCCTCCCCCTCCTGTAATAAAGACCGCCCACTGCTGCTCTCTCTTCTTGTGCAGGGTGACTGGTCTTGTCTCCGCCCCCTCCTGTAATAAAGACCGCTCACTGCTGCTCTCTCTCATTGTGCAGGGTGACTGGTCTTGTCTCCGCCCCCTCCTGTAATAAAGACCGATCACTGCTGCTGATTTATATCCTTTGTGGCTAATGAATAATATAAAAATAAAATAGCATGAAAAAATATATAATGATAAAATACAAGTTTTGTGTCGGGAGTTCAGCTTTAAAGTATATCAAAAGCCAAAAGTTAGTTTTGAACGAGGCGGAAAATGGTTAAACCCCCACCAAGTGTTTTTGCTTTATCGTCTGTGCCCCTTAGGCGAGATTTTCCTTTACTTCCTGTTCTGGAGACACAAGAGGAAGTGAGAGGAGGTCTGCTGTTGTCACTGGAGCCGGTGTCTTTGCTGGAGAATATCCCCTCTCTTCTTGTTCTGGAGACACAAGAGGAAGCGAGAGGAGGTCTGCTGTTGTCACTGGAGCCGGTGTCTTTGCTGGAGAATATCCCCTCTCTTCTTGTTCTGGAGACACAAGAGGAAGCGAGAGGAGGTCTGCTGTTGTCACTGGAGCCGGTGTCTTTGCTGGAGAATATCCCCTCTCTTCTTGTTCTGGAGACACAAGAGGAAGCGAGAGGAGGTCTGCTGTTGTCACTGGAGCCGGTGTCTTTGCTGGAGAATATCCCCTCTCTTCTTGTTCTGGAGACACAAGAGGAAGCGAGAGGAGGTCTGCTGTTGTCACTGGAGCCGGTGTCTTTGCTGGAGAATATCCCCTCTCTTCTTGTTCTGGAGACACAAGAGGAAGCGAGAGGAGGTCTGCTGTTGTCACTGGAGCCGGTGTCTTTGCTGGAGAATATCCCCTCTCTTCTTGTTCTGGAGACACAAGAGGAAGCGAGAGGAGGTCTGCTGTTGTCACTGGAGCCGGTGTCCCCACTGGAGAATATCCCCTCTCTTCTTGTTCTGGAGACACAAGAGGAAGCGAGAGGAGGTCTGCTGTTGTCACTGGAGCCGGTGTCCCCACTGGAGAATATCCCCTCTCTTCCTGTTCTGGAGACACATGAGGAAGCGAGAGGAGGTCTGCTGTTGTCACTGGAGGCGGTGTCCCCGTTGGAGAATATCCCCTCTCTTCTTGTTCTGGAGACACAAGAGGAAGCGAGAGGAGGTCTGCTGTTGTCACTGGAGCCGGTGTCCCCGCTGGAGAATATCCCCTCTCTTCCTGTTCTGGAGACAAAAGAGGAAGCGAGAGGAGGTCTGCTGTTGTCACTGGAGCCGGTGTCCACGCTAGAGAATATCCCCTCTCTTCCTGTTCTGGAGACACAAGAGGAAGTGAGCGGAGATGTGCTGTGTCTTAGACAGTTGTCACCAGACCAGGTGTCCCCGCTCGAGAATTTCAAGCTGTCTTCCTGTTCTGGTGACGATGAATCATTTTGGCGTGTTGGAGTGATCAGAGTTGAAGGAACAATCCATAGCTGTCAGTATGAGGTGTGAATGATGTATTGGTATTGGAGGGGAACATTCTCTCTGCTTTTGGCAAACATTGATTCTTCTCCTCCTGTATTTGCTAAAAGGTGCGCTGTGCCTTAAGATAACTAGACGGCGCCTACGTAGCCCCCCCCCCCCCCCCCCCTTTTTTAAACCACCCCCCCCCCCCTTTCATACATAGTTCCACAGACCAGTGACAATGGCTGACCTTTAAACCCGTCTGCTGCACCTGCTTTGTTTGGACACATTGTGGGCGGAGCTCCGGGGGCGCCTCCACTTCCTGGCCGCGTTCTCACCGCCATCGGGGTCACTTCCAGAAAGGTTTTCCTTCCCCATTCTTAGGAGAATTCCTGGCAGACATTTCCAGGCGGCTGGTAGGTGAAGGAGGATTGTGAGCCCGTGGAAAGTCTTCATAGTAGACGCAATCCCGATCCCTAACATCTACTCTGGATGGACTACAACCCCTGTCAGGTTTTTATTGCTGGCTGTGTCCCCGTTGGAGGGTGTTCACCCTCTCTATGTGTCCTGGTGACCCCATCACTGAAAGGTGAAAGAAAGGTTGTCACCAGAGCAGGAACAGATGGGAACTCTTTGAAATGGGGGTACACCAGTTCTAGATTTGCCAAATTGTAATTGGGACCGAAATTTGCATTCAAAATATGTTTTATAGTAAAATAAAGAAATAAAAGTCCGCTCTCACCACCTTTATTGTTTACCCCAAAAGCCATGCAGGTTCTCCAAACTGCCATCCTCATCTGCCTTCCCTCCCATGCCGTTCTGTTCAGCCACCATACTTCCGGGTACGGGGATCATGTGACTCACTCTGGAGTCTTCTGATTGGTTGCTGAACCACCCAGCACTGTCACTTGAGAGCCTTCAGGCTTGTGTGAGCTTCAAGACACAACCTAGAGCTTCCACTTCTCTCTCTAGTGTGTGTGTGTGTGTGTGTGTGTGTGTGGGGGGGGGGGGGGGGGGGGGAGGTATAGGGT